TATGAGTCAGGAAAACATGAAGATGGGAAAGAGTTCCAAAGGATTGAAGTGTGGGGAAAAAAACTAGATGAATAAAAGTTTTTAGAGCATGCAGGGACAGATACAGTAAACGAATGAGACTTAGCTGAATGACGAGTAAAACGAGAATGAATTTTAGTTGATGGAACTAGAGATGATAACTCCTTTGAGCAGTGACCATGATAGTATTTGTAGAAAAGAGAAAGAGATGCAACTTTACGACTATGGGAAAGAGGCTTAAGCTTAGCAGATAGTCCAGGTCCAACAACATTTACAATGCGTTTTTGGATCTTTTCAAGAAGAGAAAGTGAATCGTTAGAAGAACCAGCCCAAATATACAACAGTATTCCATACAGGGACGAATAAGAGATTTGTAGAGGTAGAGAATGGAATCAGAAGTAAGGAAATGGCGAGCACGATAAAGAGAAGCAACCTTAGCAGAAGCTAATTTAGCAATCGATTGTATATATGGTTTCCATGAAAGGTCAGCAGTAAGCGATAATTCAAGAAGACATAAAGAGGAGGACTCAGTAAAAAGATTGCTATTCATTAATATAGGAATGTTGACCATATTACAGTAGTTGTTTGCAGTAAGCAATTGGGTTTTTTTAGAGTTGAAATTCACAAGCCACTGTGAACCCCAATCTATTACTGAAGTGAGATCGGATTCAAGATCAGCTGCTTGTTCTAGGCGATCGAAAAGAGAAGACTTTTTGTCAAGACAGGAGTATAAAGTTGAGTCATCAGCAAAAAGAGCTACTTTAGATGAAAGGTTGTCAGGAAGATCGTTTATGTAGATAAGAAACAAAACAGGGCCCAGGATGGAACCTTGGGGAACCCCAGAAGTTACTGGAAATAAAGAAGAGTGTTGGCCTTCAAGGATGACTTTAATAAACTGGTTAGAAAGAAATAATTTGATAATCTCAAAAACTTCCCCAGAAACACCATATGAAGCAAGCTTATGGAGAAGACCAGCATGCCAAACTTTGTCAAAAGCTTTAGATATGTCGAGAGCAATAGCCCTAGCCTCACCGCCTCCATCTAATGCCCGATAAAATCTTTCAGTTACAGCAGTTAGCAAGTCGGCCGTAGAGCGAGAGGATCGAAAACCGTATTGATTGTCTGACAGTAGTTTATTTGACTCAAGATGAGATGTGAGGAATTTGTTGATCAATATTATTTTCATCACAGAGACCTGGTTTAACAATTTTTCAACTCCATCTCTTCCAGGTTATAATATTTTCAGAAAAGACCAATCTACTCATGGTGGTGGTATTGCAATTTATGTTAACTGCAGCGAAATTGAAAATTCTCCAAGATTTGCTGTAAAACGTTCAGAACAACTCTGGTTCAAACTCACTTTGAATCACAAAACTCTTCTTATTGGTTGTATCTATCGCCCACCAACTAGTGGAATAAAATTTTTTAATGAAATTGTTAACACTATTTCTTATGCCAAATTGTTTATTAAAAAAAAGAAGTTTGCAGACCTTATAATTACCGGTGATGGTATAATGAAACCAGTTTAGATACAAAATTTTTTAACATTATCAACAGTCTATATCTACATCAACATGTCACTAGACCAACCTTTTTTCAATCCAATGGGTCTTCAAAAAATATTCTTGACCTAATAATCAGCGAATTGGCCAATCGTACAAGTGAGATTGTTGTTGGTCCGCCAATAGGAAATAGTTCACAAGGTCACTGTACTCTATCTTGGCATTATCAATTAGCTAATGACTACACCAACTTTAATCGTTTTACTAGTTCAAAATTTATTTATAATAAAAGAAATTATATTCAATTTAACAATTACATGTCCAAACAGAGGTGGGAAAATCTATTTAAAAACTTAGACGCCAATGAAAACTACCAAATTTTCTGCAATATCTACAACAAAGGTTGCAAAAAAATTATTTCATTCATCCATTTAAAACAAAATAAACGACAACCAATCAGGGTAACAAAAGAACTTTTATTACTAATTAAACAAAAAAAGAAAGAACTCTGGTTTCTCAGCCGTAACAGCAAGTGGAAAATTATCTTGTTAGCTAATGATTACAAGTTCACTTGAAATCTTGTAAGAAAAGAGGCTAGAGCTGCAATTCATTCATTTGAAGAAAACCTATCTAAAGATAAGAACAATTCAAAAAGACTCTTTGCCTACATTAATAGCAAACGTACTGTCAATAATCATATCAACACATTGCATTCTCCATCCAGTGAACTCTGTATTGATAGAATTTTGATTGACAATACATTGAACAAGGTATTCCAATCTATCTTTACTATTGAGCCTCATAATCAAAATCTACCTCTGTTTGCTAAACGCTCATCTACCTCTCTCTTAAACTTTTCATTTGATTCCGAATCTGTTCAAAAACACCTTGACAAATATAAATCTGCTGGAGAAGATCAAATAAGTTCTTACGTTCTTAAAGTATGTGCAAGCACAATAGCAGCTCCGCTTGCCATGATTTTTCAATTGTCAATGGAACAAGCAATTGTACCAAAGGCTTGTAGCTAATGTAACTCCATTGTTCAAAAGCGGTTCTAAGACTGACCCTACAAACTACAGACCAATTTCCATCACTTCTGTACCATGTAAGATAATGGAAAGAGTGGTTAAAGATAAGGTCATGCATCACTTATTATCTAACAATCTTCTCTCCCAATGTCAACACGGATTTGTCAGCAAAAATTCATGCACTACAAATTTACTTGAAACTATGAACTTTTTGACTTAAACTGCATCACAAAAGCTATCTGTTAATGCCTTATTTCTCGATTTTGCCAAAGCATTTGACAAAGTTCCTCACAATAAGTTACTAAAAAAGCTTGAATTTTATGGAATTAGTGTAAATGTTTTAAATTGGATTAATGCCTTTCTTTCTAACAGAACACAACATGTCCTCCTTGGTGATGTTGCATCCGATTGGAAACAGGTTACTAGTGGCATTCCTCAGGGCTCAGTTCTTGGTCCAACAATATTTCTAGTCTATATTAATGACTTACCAGAAAACATTAGCAGCAAAAATAAATGCAAAATTTACGCAGATGACACTAAAGTCCTCAATGTAGTTAACACTTTAGAAAACAAACTTGGTCTGCAAGCTGACATTGATAATATTGTCAATTGGGCCCAATTATGGCTCATTAACATCAAAAAATGTAAAGTTATGCACATCAACCAATCTAAATTTAGCTAGAAACAACAACATTGGAAAAAGACCTTGATGTTTAACTATCTGTTGATCTAAAGTACAAAAGTCAAGTGTTCACCACTGCTGCTAAAGCTAATAAAATCTTAGGTATGTTGAAGCACACCTTTGTTAGCAAAGATGTAAAAGTCTGGAAAAACCTCATCTAGAATATGCTATCACCACCTGGTGCCCTCACCTTAAAAAAGACATTACAGAAATTGAACAAATACAACATCAGGCCACAAAAATATATGATGAATTAAAGCACCTTGATTACAAGACAAGATGTGATATACTTGGACTAACTTCACTAAGTGACAGAAGAAAACATGGTGACCTTATCCAAAAATTCAAAATTGAAAATAAAACTGAATTAATCAACTGGTATATTGACCCAATATACATTCCTCCCATCTATGGTCATCGCAAACGCTTTCATCGCAAAATTAATAGCAACTGCCTTATTTGACTATACTTGGAAGGCTCTGCCGAATGATGTTGTCAATGCCTCTACTATTGACAGTTTCAAAAAAAACTAGACCAGCAACTAGCTAATGATGAACTTACGGTTCATATCTGTACCGTGTAACTTTAATTGTAATTGTAATTAATATAACAAATACAATTAAATACTAATATCTAACAAAATAAAATACAAAAGAAAAACAAAAGAAAACTTATTAGCTGACAAAAAAAAACAAGCAGACAAAAGAAATTTGAAATTTGAATAAAAAACTTTAAACTTAAAAATAAAGAGCTTAAAAAAGAAAAGAACATGAGTTATTTTTTTAAGTTTCATTTAGATTGCCTTAGCTGTGTCTTATATTATTTTATTTACTTTAGTTTTAAATATATTATTATTTTTAAATTATTTATTATCATATTATAATTACCTTTATTTCCTTTTGAGTATATAATATATTTATAATATAATATAAAATATTATTTTGATAGTTATAATTTTCTTTTTAAACTTTTCTAATTTTTATAAATAATAGTTATTAATTACATATTTTTACTTTTAGTTTTCTATTACTGGTATAATAGTACATACTATTCTGTTGTTATTACTATTATTATTATTATTATTATTATTATTATTATTATTATTATTATTATTATTATTATTATTATTATTATTATTATTATTATTATTATTATACAACACCAGCTGTCCCATGATTAGTATGCCATAAATATTTTTACATATAAAGGAACACCTTTAGGGGTTTCTTTATATGTTTTCAATTTGGGGTTTCAATTTTAAAACTTCAAAAATAAAACTTTTAGGTTAATATATATTTAAATTCATGAGTATATTTAGCTTATTTCTTATAACTACATTTTTGGTGGTAATACTATAATAACTGCATAACAATATCGTTTCCAATAAAGGAATTCAAAAAATACATCAAATAAACTCTTTTATTAAATTTTCTTATTTAACATCAGTTTTGAGACAACATCAAAGATCTATTAAAAATAAAAATAAAAACTTTCACAAAACTGCATAAAACAGTTATTTTTTTCAACAGAACTGATTAAACTTGCTTTAAAACTTGTTTCATTAACATAAATTGTATCTAATATGTTGTAATTCAGCACACATTTGACATTTTTTAAACTTTCCAAAGTTTTAAACTGTCTAAAGTTTTGATTTATGTCTGTGGAATTCGTTTAAACAATGATGACCATGATTTATATATTATGCTAAAAAGAAAACACAAATGATAAAACAAATAGCAATAATAATCATAATAAAATAAAATTAACAACCTTTTTTTTTAATAAGCTTTTTTGACATCATCATCATAAGATATCTTTTGATTCCTAAACAAAATAATTTGACAATATATATAAACCATGTCGGCAAAAAATTGCCAACTTGGTTTCTATGTTTTACGGTCACACCTTTGTATCAAATAATTTTTTCCGACCTGATGCCGACCTCTAAAAGATTGAGGTCAGCAAATTATTGCCGACCTTATTTTTCCTAATTCCGAGGGTTGTATATATATTTAATGTATGAATGTATGTATATGTTTATATATATATATATATATATATATATATATATATATATATATATATATATATATATATATATATATATATATATATATATATATATATATATATATATATATATATATATATATATATATATATATATATGATTTAAAGGATAACATCTTGTGTGAGAGTATATTTATATATTATTTTAAAACATCAAAAATACGATTTCTCTCAACACTTACAATTTTTTATTACTATAGAAATTTTCGCTGGATTTTAGATACCAGCTTCTTCAGCTTGTTAAATGTTACAGTAATTAGTAAACCGTTATAATTTAAATTAAAACTTTGCTATTGACGTCAGCGGTTGAATGGCTTCTTTTTCGCTGAAATTTAAAAAATGGCGTCCAAAACTTAGTTTTTACGTATTGACCCTCATCAAGATTAATCCCGCCATTTTTTGCAGAACACATGTTTTTTTGTATTTCTAGGGCTTCCCTAACTTTTTTTTCAAATTTTTTATTTTCTACTTTCAATGTTTTTGTTTGTTCCCAAATAATTTCTTTTTTGCAAAATGTTTTATGCAGAGCTAATGCAGATTGATGCTGCTTATTTTCATCAATGCTTTTTTGGTGTTGATGCATTCGTGTGTTTACTTTCATTTTTGTTTCGCCTACATACACTTTTGAACAGTTGCATTTGATTATATATGTTCCTGGTTGACTGTTATTAGGTAATTTTGATTTATTTTTTGATGTTAACAGGGATCTTAAGTTTAAGTTTGATTTGAATACCGCTCTGTAACCAGCTTTTCGGAATATTTTCCTAAGTTTTGGCGAGAGACCGGGTACCCATGGTAAGGAAACTACAGGATAGTTATTGATTTCAGATGGAATTGTAATTTTATTTTGTCTTTTGTGTTGAAACTGATGCGCAATATTCATTATTTGAGTCTTATCGTAACCATTTTCAATAAACACGTTGATTAAAAAATTTTTTTAATCGACGTGTTTTTTAATCGTGTTTATTGAAAATAGTTACGATAAGCGCAATATTCATTATTTGAGTCTTATCGTAACCATTTTCAATAAACACGTTGATTAAAAAAATTTTTTAATCGACGCGTTTTTTAATCGTGTTTATTGAAAATGGTTACGATAAGACTCAAATAATGAATATTGCGCATCAGTTTCAACACAAAAGACAAAATAAAATTACAATTCCATCTGAAATCAATAACTATCCTGTAGTTTCCTTACCATGGGTACCCGGTCTCTCGCCAAAACTTAGGAAAATATTCCGAAAAGCTGGTTACAGAGCGGTATTCAAATCAAACTTAAACTTAAGATCCCTGTTAACATCAAAAAATAAATCAAAATTACCTAATAACAGTCAACCAGGAACATATATAATCAAATGCAACTGTTCAAAAGTGTATGTAGGCGAAACAAAAATGAAAGTAAACACACGAATGCATCAACACCAAAAAAGCATTGATGAAAATAAGCAGCATCAATCTGCATTAGCTCTGCATAAAACATTTTGCAAAAAAGAAATTATTTGGGAACAAACAAAAACATTGAAAGTAGAAAATAAAAAATTTGAAAAAAAAGTTAGGGAAGCCCTAGAAATACAAAAAAACATGTGTTCTGCAAAAAATGGCGGGATTAATCTCGATGAGGGTCAATACGTAAAAACTAAGTTTTGGACGCCATTTTTTAAATTTCAGCGAAAAAGAAGCCATTCAACCGCTGACGTCAATAGCAACGTTTTAATTTAAATTATAACGGTTTACTAATTACTGTAACATTTAACAAGCTGAAGAAGCTGGTATCTAAAATCCAGCGAAAATTTCTATAGTAATAAAAAATTATAAGTGTTGAGAGAAATCGTATTTTTGATGTTTTAAAATAATATATATATATATATATATATATATATATATATATATATATATATATATATATATATATATATATATATATATATACATATATATATATACATATATATATATATATACATATATATATATATATATATATATATATATATATATATATATATATATATATATATATATATATATATATATATATATATATACAGCGCTCTAAATAATTATTTAGAGGTTGCCCATCAAAACTGATCGGCTGAAAAGATAAATATTGAAAAGTAGACGATCAAATAATTTTCCGAATGATCAAATATTTTTGCTAATTTGTATTAAATTTTTATGTGTAGTAATTTTTTACGTTTGTACTAAATAGCGCTGCTTATTCTGCAGAATTCCCAATTTGCTTATAATTCCAAAACAATAAAAAAAAAAAAAAAACTTATACTGGGCCTTGTTTTAAAGTGTCACATTATAAATGCAAACGAGCCTCTTAAATAACTTTGTAAATGCACTTTAGGAAGCCCTTAAAAAAAAAAAAATTTTATACTCAAGCAAGACAGTTGTCTGTCTTATAAAATTTATGATAAGCTTTTTGCATATCCTAACTTATCATAAAAATTAACAAATAAGAAATTAATCAAGTTGATCATACAAATTACTAAGTAAGAAAGTAAGTTGACCAAGTTAACTTTTGATTCATCCTTCGATTATTAAAGTTAATCTTTCAAAACATTAAAAAAAAATTGTTTTCCAATCACCTTAAGATATTTTTAGCACATTATAGATTGTCATTAGCTTTAAGATTTTTGTTATGAATATCTCGTCCATTTATGATTATCTTTTTTATATTTATATTACACAATATTTTCGTTACATTTATAATATAAATATTTTTAATATATTTATAATATATAATATATTTTTTACATTTATTTATTCAAAACTATAGTTTAAACTAAGCGACTGTTTGCAACATTATAAATGATTGTTTAGTAAAATTTAAAATTGACAAAAATACGCATTTAAAATTGACAAAAATACGCAAATTCATTCATTCAAAGTTTTTCAAACTCAAAGTTTATTTAAAATTGAAAATAACACGCAAATTAGATCAAAGTATATCATTCATTCAAAGTTTAATTGCAAAAATGTTTTTTTCTCTTGTGTTTTACCCAATAAAAAAGCTTTTTTAATATTAATGATCGAACTTTTTTGGTTTCGGTTATAGAAATTAAATAATAGTCTTTTTTTTTAAAAACGATACAAAATATATTGGGAACTTTGAAAAAAACTGATTAAAATTTTAACGCAAGAATATTAATTTTAAAAACAAACAAAATACTGTTTGTAATTGTAACTTTCTTTCGTAAACTTTTACTTTATTCTTAGCAAGTGTTTCAGATCCTGATTTCCTTTTCAAAGAAATAATTTTCAGTTGCTTTTTCACGCATTTATTTTATCATTATTTTAATACTTTTTATATAATTTTACTTCTAAAACTTATTTTTTATTAATTTTAAACCAAAAACAATTTTATTTTGCTTAAAGCATTATGATGTTTTATGAAGTCAACATTCTTTCTACCAATCATAAACTTGCATTATTTACTATTTTTCAAAGTTTGTCACATTAAATTTTACTGTTTCTAAATAATAATACAAATTAAATTCATTAAAAAAAATTCATTTCATTCAAAATAGTTCATTAACAAGTAGTAAACTTTTTGTTTAAATAAATTTTGTAAAAGTTGTTTTACTTTTGTTATTTTACTTTTGTCATTTGAAGATTTTTGTGACGATTGTTTTGAAATGTTTTTAAAATTTTAATATAAAGTTTGATATGCAATTCTTGACGATCAAATTTGATCATCCAGAATTGATTTTTGGAGATCAAAATTTCATTTTTTCTAAAAGTAGACAATCATTGATTATTGATCGGCCGCTATTTATATATATATATATATATATATATATATATATATATATATATATATATATATATATATATATATATATATATATATATATATATATATATATATATATATATATATATATATATATATATATATATATATATATATATATATATATATATATATATATATATATATATATATATATATATATATATATATATATATATATATATATATATATATATATATATATAGATAGATAGATAGATATAGATATATATATATATATATAGATATATATATATAGATAGATAGATATATACATATATACATATATACATACATACATATATATATATATATATTTATATATATAAATATATATATTTATATATATAAATATATATATTTATATGTATATTTTTTGTAATTCACATCCCCAAGGCCGAGAAGGCCACAACAGATGAGGAGGCTACTTATGGTTGTAACCCTCTCTCAACTCTATAACTCTGAAACATGAACCTTGAAAAACAAGGGGCTGCAGGGAAAAATAAGTTGAGCCTGGTACTACCAGGGACGTGGTAGGAATCGAAATTGAAACCTCTAACTTATGAAGTGAGCACTCTACTACAACACCACTACCGCATAATATTATATATATATATATATATATGCTACCGCTAATACTATATATATATATATAAATATATATATATATATATATATATATATATATATATATATTATAGTTTTTGTAACTATGAGTTACCATTGTTATGTTATTAAAAAAGGAAGTATTAGTTGAAGGTGTCATGTTTTTGTTTATGCCGATAATTTTCATAGCTCAATAAATTATTTTCATTTTTTAATTCGAGAAAAACATAAAGCTGAAAAAATGGCTCCGTAGTTGTTTTGTGTACTTTCTTGCAATCATATACATGATTGTCGAATCTATCTGTTGAATTGCCAGTTTTGCAACTGGAAATATGTCCATTTGTAC